GTCGACGCAATTTTTTTAATTAAATGACTCTGCTAGCCAAACGTAACTCTTTAAGTACCAGTTAGAATACCTAAAGAAGGGACAAGTATAATATTTAACAAAGATAATTCAAAATGAAATTACTGATGTAATGGCGAAAACAGTTCGCAATAGCATTTTAAATGATATTAAAGAAGCCAAATATTATACAGTAATGTTCGATTGCATTACAGAAGCGTCGCATACAGAACAAATGAGCCATGTGATTCAATACGTAAAAAATAGGTGGTGATATGTGTGAAATAAAGGAGAGCTTTATTGATTTCATAGAAATTGGTGGAAAGACAGGAGAATGTATTTCTCAACGGATTGTGGAAAAACTGACCCTTGATGGTTTGGATATTGACAATGTTGTGGTCAATCTGCGGATAACAGATCTAATACGGCCAGTCTTACCGGCCATACTAGATCTTGGAGTAATCCTGGAGTACAAGCCAGGATTATAGAAATGAATAAGCTGCCCAAATATGTGTGATATTTGGCTCACTCTTTGAATCTTATCTGTGCGCATTCTGCCTCGTCTTGCCCCGAAGCAGTTAACTTTTTTGGAATTATCCAGAAGATATTTAGCTTTTTTGTGGGATTCACTATTCGATGGGATATTACGAAAACATGTACAAAAACCAACTCAAAAGGAAGCAGCCAGACGAGATGTTTGGCAAAATGTGTGGCTTTGAAGGCCCTTCTAATGAATGTACCAGAAGTAGTAAAATCCTTGAAAGAAATTAATTATCTTTTAAAGTACTATATTACTATTTTAAAATTAACTATCTATCAAAGTATGAAGCAGGACATCTGCTACATGTTGTAAAAAATTTTGAATTTATTATCAGCCTGACAATTTGGGATAATATTCTTCAAGAAATCAATCGAATAAATTCTGAAATTCAAAAGGGAGATATTATTCTTGCGCGTTCCGTCGCATTCATGGAAGGTCTGACCAAAACTTTGCAAAAAATGAGAGAAATTCTTACGGAATATTGGATAGAAGGATTTAAAGCAGCAACCGAAAAAAATTGAGGTTGAGCTGTTCTGACAAATAAGTGAATTCTAAAACGCAAAAAGGAATTTGATGAATTGTGCAAGGACAAATCACGAACATTTCATAGTGTTCAGCTATTTCTAATGCAATGAAAATAGTATTTGATCGAATCTTATCAGAAATTAAAACGAGGGTAAACAGGGCTATTACACTAAATTCAATTTTCCATTTTTCAATGGTCATGAAATATTGAATATGTCAACTGATGAACTGCAAGAGAATAGAGCAGATCTTGCACGAAAATATGAGAGAGATCTCTAAACGCATTTGAGTTGTGTCAGGAACATGTCGTTTTTAGACAACAAAGCCTCAATATTATTCGTCGACATAAAAAAGGCTAGAGCTTTTTATCTTTTGCAACAGATCTACATCTATGATTTTCAGGATGCCTTTTACAATATTTGTATTGCCCTGCGGATTTACTCTATGCTTCCAACTACATCCGCAAGCTGTGAGCGAAGTTTTAGCAAATTAAAATTTATTAAAAACTATCTGAGATCATCGATGCGCCAAAAGCGTTTATTAAGTCTCGCAATTCTGGCAATTGAAAATCAAACAGCACATCAAGTTAATTATGATGATGCCATAGATTTATTTGCAGAACAAAAGGCTCACAGAGTAAAATTTTAATCCCGTAATATTTTAAGTGTTAGGTTAGAACTTAAAATTATTACTGAAATAAGAATTATGAAAAGAAGTATAAATACTAACCTTTTCACTAGTAGCCCGTATTGCTGTTAGGTATAGCTAATAAAAGTTAGTTACATAATTAATCAGCTCATCTATTGTCCCAACTTATGTAATCTATTGTTTGTAACTAAAGGTTATTTTTATTAAGAGTGCATAATCAAGGGTATCGAAAGACGTATATAATTTTAAAGATACCATAAGGTATTTTCCATTCCTTAAGCGTAACATTTTTGCTGAAATCTTATTTAAACGTAACGTTTTGCATAAGCATAACTATACAAATTGCTATTATCCATCACACAATGAATGTTTCTTTTATGCGGAAGTGTCCCATTTTTCGATTTGTATGGAAGTGTTGTGTGTCAAAATACTATCACAACACTGTCAATGGTTCTAAATGTAAACAAGAAAACACTCCATCTGGAGATCGAAAAACCCTCGGAGCAGTGCTTCACTCGCAGCGTGGGGTTGGACCCCTCCTTTCTTGTCTTACCTCCATGGTGTGGTTAGTTATTTGTTGCAAATATTGCAAAATTGCATATTTCAGAAAAAAATGTAATTTTGATTATTACAGTACAAAAATAGTCTTTTGCAGTGAATATGTAAATATTTAATATGTTACCGAGCTTTGTGAGGACAATAGTAGAGTTCTTGAGTAGGCTACATGAAGGAGTTATTGTGAAATGAATATTTAACGTGCTAGGTTAAAGTTACTATTAGTATCGAGAAATTGGTAAAAAATTATTCAATCCACTGTATTAGTGATTTGTGATTTGCTTATATTTGTTTAAATGAAATTTTTTATTATTTATTAATGTCTAATTATAGTTTTTGTGCTGTGCTGAACTATTTTTAGTATTTAGTTCTGAATCGTTTTCTATTAGCATCATTTATTAGTATGAGTAGGCATTGTTGCAAATATTGAAAAAATCCTCATTTCAGGAAAAATGTAAATTTGATTATTTCAGTGCACCGGACAAGTAACTGAATTAAGAGGTTTGCGCGAGTTTTTAATTATGTAACGGCCACCAGCGGCTGAGATGTAAAGTCTGAACACTGGTAGTTCGGTCGTTAGAATCAAGCAAATTAGCTGGCTGCATGGGTGTTTCCGACGTTTCGCTCATGCGTAACTTGCATATGAGCCAATTACTTTTAGAAAGACCTCACCCCTCTTAGGCAGGTAGCTCTCTTATACTTTGCTATAAGAAAAGAAATTAAACCATTTATTATGTTTATTTCTTTTAGAACAAAAATGGCAAATAAAGAATTTCCTACTATAAAATGGATTTTACATTTTACCTTGAAAACTACCTAATTCTATGTTTATTTAAAAAACTTAAAATTTGTTACAGAAACTTAAAGGAAGATGGGTAAGGGTGGCATTTTTAAGTTTTTACCCCACCTAGGAAAAATGCTAAATCCGGCACTGGCAGGATCGTGGAAAAAATGGTGAATCACCGTCTTACCTACTATCTGGAGACTAATTAATGCCTATCGCCTCACCAAAGTGGTTTCCGTAAGGGAAGATCTTCACTTGATAATGCCCTGTTTTTAGAAACCGCAGTATGCAATGCATTTGTGAAAAGAAATCATGTGGTATCAATCTTCTTTGACATGGAAAAGGCATATGATAGAACTTGGCGGCATGGAACTCTTCATGACCTTTACAGCACTGGATTGCGAGGTAATTTACCCATCTTCATTCAAAACTTTCTGAAGGGCTGCACTTTCCAAGTCAAAATTGGTTCGTTGCTTTCTCAAGTATTTGTACAAGAAGAAGATGTACCACAAGGTTCGGTGCTCGGTGTCACTCTTTTCAGCCTAAAAATTAATTCCATTTTAAGAGAACTTCCTCCCACAGTGCATGGTTCCCTGTATGTTGATGATCTATTGTCAAGATATGAGATACATTGAGAGACAACTACAAATTGCTCTAAATAGCATCGTAAAGTGGTCCAACAACAATGGTTTTAAATTTTCTAGCCAGAAGACAGTCTGTGTGCACTTCTGTCACAAAAGAAATGTACATCCTGATCCAGAGCTGCATCTTGACAGCTCTTTGATCCGTGTTGAGCCAGAAGCAAAATTCTTAGGAGTTATATTTGACAGAAAGCTCACTTTCCATTCTCATATCTTAAATCTAAAGAAAAAATGTGCTAAAGCTCTGAACATACTGAAAGTCCTGGCCAATACTTCATGGGGAGCAGAACGTTCTTCTCTGCTCCACATTTATAGAGCTTTAATCCGTTCCAAACTTGACTGTGGCTGTGCTACCTATGGATCTGCAAGACCTTCTGTGCTACTGAAATTGGATCCATACTCCGGGAATCGAACCACGGACCTCTGGAATACCGACCCAGCGTGCAGGACCACTACACCACAAAGGCACCCGAGAAGGTGGGAGAAATTACCTTATATACTCCCCCTTTTAAGGGCGACTGGGGTTTTGGGGGACCCAATCGCCAAATCCTGGCTGTGGAGAGTCATCATCCATCACCCTTTCAGTTCAGGCACCACTGTAGAAACATTTGGATTATTTGGTAGCCTGCAAGATGAAAAATGAGCAACCGCTTTCGCCGTGAATCGAACCATGGACCTCTGGAATACCGGCCCATCGTGCAGAACCACTACACCACGAAGGCACATTAGGAAAGCGGGAGAAATACCTTATACATATAGTAGCAGAAAAGAAACATAGACCACTTAATGGAAATTCCATCGCATGCCACCAAAGCACAGTTATTTTACATGTTGCAGATATGCTACACTATACATTTATACCATTATACAGTGGATAAAAGATTGTCATACACATAGACACAAATACACACACACACACACACACACAAAAAAAATATTCTATTAATAGTGAAAACATTGTGTTGATCCTAATTTGTGCTTATTCATTGAAAACTTGCTATCAAATTTTTGGAAGGAAACCACTACCTCCCTTACCTGTGAATTTATAGATACAGGTGTAAGTGAACACCAAAATGGGTGTTTTTTTTTTTTTTTTTTTTTTTTTTTTTTTTTTTTTTTTTTTTTTTTTTTTTTTTCCCCACATATTTTGAGGAAGAAGATATGTTTTTATTATGTAGTTTCAATAATAAGAAATATATACTGTTGTACAGGGCATTTATTATTTAATTAATGTGTAATAGTAAAAAATAATGGATATTAACTATGTTATTTGTGCTAACTGTAAATGAAATGCTTTTTTGTATTTTAGTGGGCATTAGGTGCAATTCAATGTTTAGCTGTATGTTTGAAAGAAATTCATTTGATTCCTCCTTCACTTAAAGTAAGTTGTAATTTTTTTTCTTTTTTCTTTTTTTAACCGAGGCTTTTATTTAATATTATAGGCTTGTGATTCCGTAAGGTATAAGGTAATTTCTGTTTCTTAGTAATTCATGTGGGTTTTTATTCTCGTGTTCATAATACTTCTGATATTTATTCCTCCTTAATTACGTGCTGTCTAAAGTTCAGGATATTGCTTTGTGAAAATATTTGGACTTTATATTTATTTATGATTTGTTAAGTTGAAATATCCTTTAAGCATGAATCCATAAATCCAAGTGCATAGATAAAAAATAACCATGTATGATGTGAAAATTCATACTTCAAGGGTTTTAAATAAAATATTTACAACAGTGGTCTCAAACGCATTACATATAGGCCAAATGCAGGATCTAAACACAACTGATGGGTTTAAAAGCTGATGGGTGTTAAACTTTTTAAGAAAATAAAATTAAAAATTTTATTTAGTAAATATTGACCAAATTATGCATAAATAGTAATAATAATGATGCAAAGAAAAAAAAAATTGATTGTATATTTATATTTTGTTTGAAATCTTAAGTTTTAAGAAATTTCTGAATGTTACACTTTAAATTTCAAGCGTAATGACAGCCAAAGGTGAAGTTTTTAGACTGGCATTTATTTCAGATAATTTTAATGTGTAGAATAAGCCACAAAATAACTTACTTGAACAAAAAATAAGCATATTATAAAATTTCAAGTTGCACTAAACTTGAGAAGAGATAATGACAAAATATTTTTTTCTTTTATTTATTAAATATTTCTGTGATGTACATACAGACGAAATATATTTGTATGTAAATTCTTTGTTTTCTACTGCAGCTTTCAATTACGACACTTTATTGTGTTTCAGTTGCAGAAAAAATTACAAGAAACTATCTTTATCATTAATTGTAGATGCTCCTCAGTCATTCTTATTTAGACTCATTAATTTTCAATAACAAAAAAGAACTTTTTACATATAGATGCTTTCCCAAACAAAGTAAATAATCTTATTGCAAAAATTCATTATTTCAGGTATTTATCTTTTGACAGGTATGAAAAGTTAATCACATTTATATTTTCATATCTCTGTTAAGATCTATATCCCACTATGTGTATGACAATACCATTAAAATCACAAACATTTCTTAAGATTTTTGTCATATTACTAATAAATTTTCAGGAAATGTATTCACAAGCTGCAAAAAACTACTTCAGGGCCACTAGTTTGAGACCACCAATTTACAGCATACTGCTTAAAGTGGATATTTACATAGAATAATAATAAAACCAGCTTTTCCACTTTCTTTTGGAAGAAACCTATTATTTCTTGTATTTTGTTCTTTTGAATAATTTTATGTAGGCTGCGCAGAGCTAAGCTGTTATCAAATTGAACGTTTTGTAGGTGTGTGTGTGATGTAACAGCATATGTATATTATAATCCCCTTAAAGCACTGTATCTAGAGTGCCTTTATCTGGTAAAATTTTGTTATATCCTCTACTTTTCCCCCTACTACTGTTACACTTTTTTCACTTTTAACTATAAATCTGTGAACCCCAGAAATGATTTTACGAAACCTGTACTATTTCTTCATAGTCATAACCTTCCTGCTTTATAGCATTAAGGGTCAGTATAATTAAAATTAACCATTAAATCTTTTTTCTCTAAGCCCAGAAGTGAGATGAGAAATCATTAACTTTCTCTAAAACTTTCTGTAAATTTTTCTTTTTTATCAGATATTGGTTTTTGATTTTATGAGATAAAGGTAAGTGCATCAGGATATGTATTATTTTTCCATCAATGTTTTTTGACAAACAAAATTTGTTGCCATAACAGTGTGATTTAGTGCCACAACAAGACATGATATGCGCATAAGATCTTTGCTTTGGTTTAATGTAATGCCTTAGTAAGCCAATTTAGTTTATGAGGTATGTATGCTAATTAACCAGTTATGATGGTTTAAACCTGTACTTATAACATATGCTTTCGTAGTCCTCACCAGAATGTAAATTAGTTGGTTGAGTATTTAAGTTGAGGGTTTTGAATGTTTTGGTGTTAGAGCTGTTGGCAGCCGTTCTTCTAGTATATCATGTCCAATCACCAAAATTTGCCAGTGACTATTCTGAGTTTAATCATTTTGCTAGCTGATGTTAAAAATGCATGATTAAAAGGGACAATTTGTGTATTCTCTGACCATATTAGTTAAATTTGAATTTCATCTTACTATATTTCCTCATTTATTCCCCCCCCTTTTTTTTACTAATTTTATCGTCTGAGAACTCCCTGAGAATTTTGTGAATAATTTAATTTCCTAAGCATGCATTTAGAGTAACAGCATAACAAATGAAGAGTAGTCGTATGTAAATTTCAGCTAACTGTCACAGTATTATTTCTTTAAAAGAAAGCTATGTTTCAATAAGAATACACAGTAATATTAGTATTACAATATCTAATGAGATATCTTCATTTGTACTTACCTGTAACATGAATCTTTCCTCTTATTGTCACTGCCATTGCTTAGGCCTCAAATAATCTATAAGTAATTAGAGAAGGATGTGCAGCCGAGTCAGCAAAATCGTAGAGTGAATGTAAGGTCATGTTTGCTTCACTGTGATGGGTCAGTTCGTGTATTTGGATAGTGTAAAAGTCAAAAAGTAGAAGGAAAATGTTCATTGTGACTTTCACATGTAGTTTGTGAGGATTTATCTTTGTTTTGGTAAGACAAAAACAATCACAATATGGCCAAATCCATTTTGAAATTTTGGGAAGCTCATTCTCTGAATGCATTGAAGAAAGGGAAAATTGTGCAAATATTTAAAAAAACTTTCAGAACCTGATGCCAGAAAGCTTGGCGAGGGATTGAATACAAGAAGAAATACTATGTTATACTGAATACTCACAAGTGGCAGAGGTTATTTTTTTTATGCAGCAGCTTTTGCTGCTGTTTAAATTAAAGATTTAATAAAAAGGTTATTTTAAACTAAAGATGTATTAAGTAACTAAAGATGAAGCAATAATTGGGTTGTCAGTCTAGCAGCCTCTGAAGGACATTGATTTAAACTTCTACACAAATAAGACCCTACATTATTAATTTAGAAGTAAAACAAAAAATCAGCATTATATTTTCAAATTTTTACAGGACTAGTTTCGATGGTTTTACCAAACCATCATCCTCAGCTACAAAAGTGCAAATGAACGAGATAAGATAAGAAAGCCTGGACAGGAGATAAGCTACTGGCACCATCTTTTGATAAAACCAGAACTAAAACATAATTTCTTTAAAGGTTGAAGGCAAAGATGAATTGAAATTAAGGTCATTAACTAGAACAGAAAGATTTTTTTGAATGTGAAATGCCTGTAGAAAATCCAGTTCATCAATGGAAGATGTTTTTTGAATAATTTTGACAGCAGAAAAATGGAAAGTGTGATTTTTGGATGAACAATGTTGGGCAACAGAAGACTTCTGTGTTTTTTTTTTTTTTCTAACTTATGTCGCATGTTCCTTAACATGAAATTTTAAGGTTCTCTTAGTTTGGCCAATGTAAATTAAACCACGCTGGCAAGGAATCCCCAGGAATTCATATCCGAAATGGAGTCCTTGAGTATGGAACTCTAAATTTTATTGATGGGAGAATAAACGACCCGAAAGTTAAGTTTCTGTAAAATATGTGCAACTTTACAGTTAATTGATGGAATAAAAGGAATGACAACAGAATTTTTATAATCTCCTAAAACAAGAGTGTGCATTTTGGTGTGTTGAGATGAGAATTTTTTAACTGCTTGATTAATAATGTTTTGTGAAAAGCCCGTCAATAGCTATTGCTTTTAAATAATTTAGTTTTTCATCAAGGAATAGTTTGGAGGAGCAAACTTGAAGAGCACGGAAAAGGCATAGGAATAAAATGAAGTCAGATGACATGATTTGAAGTGAAGTGGAAGGCAAACCGATGAAGGTTTACGGTAAACCGTAGTACTGAGGTTGGATGTGTTACGTGTGACCAGAATGTCGAGAAAAGGAAAAGAATTGCAAGTCTCAAGCTCAAAAGTGAACTGAATAGCAGGATCAATGGAATTCATTGTTGAGAGAGCTTTATTTAAATCATCTTTATTACCTTCAAACAGGCTAAAAGTATCGTCTATGTAGCGGAACCATACCGGGAAGTTTAAAGTTTCAAACAATTTTGATTCATAATAATGCATGTAGATATCAGGCAGGATGGGACTGAGGGGGCTTCCCATGGCTGATCCTGCAGTTTGCTTGTAATATTTATTTTGGAAAACAAAATACATTTGTTTCAAACAGAGTTGAGTGAGAGAAATTAGCTCATCAATTTCGATGCAAGAGAAATGAAATTCGCGAAGTCTGGTTTCTAGACATCTTAATGCACCCCTCTACTGGAACATTGGTGAATAATGATTTTACATCAAAAGAAACCATGAGTAAATTTCTAGGAGAAATGTTTTTAACCATTTTTACAAACTCTATTGATTTTTTTTATCTTGTAAATGTTATTGTCTAATACAGTTGAAAATCTAGAAACTAAAGATTTAGCTAAGGGATACGAGGCAATACCTAAATTTGATAAAATAGGGCAGAAAGGAATACCACTTTTATGAATTTTGGGAAGAGTATATAGTCTGGCACAATTCGCAACAGATGGGATAAGCGAATGTTTTAAGTTGCTTGAAAGGATTTGTGAAGATTTGATCGCAGTTTTTATTTTTGACAGGTGCAAAGGTGAAGGATCTTTAGGGATCGGATTATATAATATGGTCCTTCGTTTAAGAGTTTAGTGACACCATTGATGTAAGTGTTCTTATCCATGATGACTAACTGGCCACCTTTGTCGGCCTTTGAAATGGTCATATCCGGGTTAGAATGAATTTTGTGCATTGTAGCTCTTTCTCTTGCGGTTAGATTTGGTTTCAAAGGTTTATTATTGAATTTCACATTATGAGCGATAAGATGCCTAGTCATTTCTTTCTGTAAATCTGAAACT